TATATATGTATATATATATAAATATATATATAGGTATATACATATATATGTATATAGGCATATGTATATATATATATATATATATATATATATATATCCATATGCACACGTCCATATGCAGAGTCAAATTGACCCACTCCCTAACTAAAAATGATTTCCCATTATGTATTTATTCTATAATGTAGGCCTATATGAGAGGCTATGTTATATTATGACATTGATGACACAGGTAGTGCCTATTGCTTTGAATGCAATATTATGTATGTGCTAAAATGTAATATATAAGGGGATGATAAACGTACGTGGTGGGTTTCACGGAACCCATTTTGTTGATATAATGGTTCCCCACTAAATACCTACATTGCATGTATCTCTATCCTAGGAGTGATTATCCTATTCCTTGGCCTGGTATAGGTGTGCAAAACCCATGGTTGGTCAATATTTGAATTTCTTACTCATATTTTGGTCGCTACACTATGCCATGCAAAGGGCCACAAGCTGAAACTCAGAAAATGCATCCTTTAAAGATTCGATTCCCGCATTCAGAGTTAGTTATTGAGAGTATATATTGTAAATTGAATGTGTTTCCATATATATAGAAAGCTCTCCATAAAAAAAATCCAGTCATCAGACCCGTCAATGTTGGCTCCTACTACAAAAAACAGCACTTTTAATTCTGGGAACATGATATATATCGTTAAGTAATCAACCAAATGTCGTGTATGGGTAGTCAACTGGCTTGGTAACACAGAGAAAAAAATTGCACTAACAAAAGTAAACCTACATTAAATGAATCTAACAGAAAAAGTGCAATCTATTTGTGTAAATTTGACATTTGTGGGCCTGGAGTAAATTTTGAATAGTAAATCTACCTAATTAGGAAACCAGTCACACTCATATTTGGCGTTTTAGTAGCTGGTTGTTTGTTTTGTTAATACTGTACATATGCACGATTTAAACTTGTGGAACTAATCTTTCAAATTAAGGCCCGGAAAACTGTTTAAATTATTTAAAAAGTTGCTTTTGGTAATTTTTTAGGAGTAATATTTCATGTACCACACTAGATGTCATCTACTTCATGAAATGGATAGCCAATTGGGTTGGTAGTTGGTAACACAGAGCAAAAACGTCAACATGCACAAATAAACCCAAATTGAATGAGAGCAACTATAAATGTGTGATAACTTCATTTTCCATTGAAATTATTGTCGTCTGGAAATTACTTAACCATTATGTAATCTTATTTCAATTAGAGGTAGCAGTTGTGTGGCCCGTGAACACATGCGTATGATGCTAAACGAAACATACTGTTCATGAATGAAGGTCAAATATTGAGGTTTATTGAATACGGTAAAAGTGAAATAAAAAAAAAAATATGGATTTCAGCAAAATTCCCAAATATACTTCTCTATAAAAGGTTGATAACTTCAAGGAGTGGCTATAGTCAAGAGACTAGATAATATGCAAGTACAATTTATGCACAAAGTAATAAGTAAACATAAATTAAATGAGTTGTAACTGAAATATTTTATTTCTTCATTTTTTTTTATGGAAATAGTGAGCTACCTGACCTTAAAAAAGAATGAGCCTCTTGATTTTTTAAAATATCACGTAACACATAACTTAACGGTACTTAAAGCAGTATTAGATTTCATGTTTTTCCAGACTGCATCTTAATAGTGAAGTGTCAGGGTAACATAAAAAAGTGAATAAATAAATATTATTAATGTTGAAAAGTACATATTTTTTATTTAAATTTATTTTTAATATACAATACAGTAAACAAATAAACATCATGTAAAAAAGAAGAATGAAACTGACAATATCCAACTCGTTATTCTTATTTTAATTTGCCATTACAAGATTATTTACAGTATCCCATACTCGGTTTAAAAGTAAAGTTTGACATAAATAACCATATTGTATGGCCTAGTTAATTAAAATCATTATGATTACATACGAAAAATTTAATGCACAATCTTCTAATGTTTATTATTGCATTTAATTGGTAGTCGCCAAGTACTTGTCAAAATGTAACTACTGGATTATGTAGTCACAGCACTCACAATCTGCAATCACCAACATTCTGTATGGTTTATCCCACACCCCCAAAAAAAAAAGATTGACTCAAGAGCAATCGTCATATATATAAGATGTGTATAAGAGACAGATCCACACCTGCAGAGTGGTTTTCATCATATATCTTTGTATTAAAAAGTGTACATAGTGTGATTCTTTAGGTAAATATAGGCTCTCTGATATAGTCAACTTAAGGTTCCCGCATCGTTGTATTCAATGTATTGATTAAAGTCAGACTCTAGAGAGAAAAATGTTTGATATGTTGTAGATCTGATTTTTCTAAGACAGAA